GCTGAGTAGCAGGACAATGTCTGGCTATAGTAATCCATCATACCTGATTGCACATTTATAGTTGTAGCTTTTACTCTGGGAATTGATCCATCTTCCCTAAGGGACACACAGCCAAAATCAGAGTAATTTCATATGTCTCCTGTAAGCCCATCAAAATTTACTCAAGCAGTTTTTAAGTCATATTCACTCCCAGCTCTTCGTGCTGCAGCTCCTTTATTCACTAACTACAAGTGTAGCTGGAAGTAACTCTTTTGCTGGAAGTAACTCAATTATGTCACCCCTGGTACTCACTCTTGGGATCTGTCACACACGCACACGGCATGCTACTGGGATACAGAAAAAAAACCAAGTGGAGATTTGAATGTTAAACTTCAGTATGCTCAGTGACTGCCACAGCTCTTGAGCTGTAATACCAGGTTTCAGTTGACCAATACCTAAGTATTTTTATATGTCAGAATAGCTTCAGCAGGGGAACTGGTCACAGACCTACAATGGTGGTTAGTTCTCTATCTATCATTTTGCACCTATAAATGAGAAACACACGAGTAGTTCTGATTTGTCAGACATACAGTTGGAATGTTCAAAATCTCACCTACTTTCATACTTTTCTTCTCAGCTCCATTTGCTCATCCATGGAGGAAGACAGTAATCCAGTTCACAAGCTGTACTTATGGCCTAGCACAACCAGTTAGCCCCTCCGGGAAATCTAATCTTATGTTTGTGAAGATGAGAGACTGCAACAGTCAGTTCTGTCTAGTGAACTGACCACGAATGCTGTATCTTCCCAAAGTTACCAAATGCAATTCAGTCTTTATCCGCAATGCTCCTGTTTCTTCCATTCTGGTTATCTCCTCAACAAACATAACGGAGAATTATCCTGAATTATGTGCCAGTTGTTCAGCATGGGAATAGGACTAGAATGAAGCAAACAAGACCAGATAACACAGATCCTGAGGGAAGACAGGCAAGTAAACTCACAGGAATTACCACCACCCAGAGAAGCAGCTCTGAATGTTGGTTTTATCCCATCACATAATTTTAAAATATTTTGTTTCTGATACATACACAGCTTTAGAAGTGAACAAGTCAGCTTTAGAAATGAACCATTGTCCTCAGTCACCATGCAGGCCAGATAAAACACTCAGATCCATAAAAAGCCTGAAATGCATTTAAAAGATCTCATCACACACAATTCCTTCAAATTCAGAAGCAACTGTTGTGGTTTTCCACATAACGGATAGTAAGTACAAGACTAATTTCTTGATTTCTACACTGTCCCGTGCTGTTAAAATACAAGAACTAATATTAACAAGAAAGATGAAAAAGTGACAGTTTTACAGCTCTAAAGAACTTAATGTTTAAATGTAACTTCCAGTGAGAAATAATTTGAAAAAAACTTGCTGCAATTAATTAGGCCCTAATGACCAAATTCTTGGGTGGAAAGATTTGGTGATAAACTGCACACAAAGACACTCTCTTATCCTCTTTTCTGAAACACCACCAGTTACTGTGCCCCACTGAATTTTATCTATACAAACACATCCTATTCATAGAGCATCTCAAAGAGGCAACCTGAGCTGTGCTGAAACAACTTAGCAGGACTCAGGTATCATTTCTGCCATTAGCAAGAGAGGCAGGTTCCTGCTTATCAACTTGCAGCTTCACAAAGATAGCTGCTCTCTGGCTCCCAAGTCCACAAATTACAAGGTAACACTGAAATGTAAACCAAGATGTACTTTTTGTACAATTTTCCTGACAAAACCTTATGTTATGTGCTGTTAAATGTGTTGTAAATTATATACTATATAAATTAGTTGAAACACCTCATGTCAAGTCCTCTGTACAGCTTATGGTTTGATAGGTAAGCAGAAAAGACAGCCTTTTTTATTTTTGTACTATGTGAAAACAGAAAGACCAGGCATGCTTGAAAAAGCAGCTCAAAAGTGGTTTTAGAAAATCAAAGAGAACAGCATGAGTAATGAGGATGATAATAATTAGCACCCAGACGTGCACAGCCAAATTGTGTTCCTCAAACAGTAACTGCATTATACCACACTACAAGCAAAAAAGTGGATTGTACAAATATTTTGTTCTGTTTCAGTAACATATCTCTCAGTTACTTTTTCCTTTATGTTTTTCCTCTTTCTTACTGTCCTAAAACATCGTAAAGGAAATGGAATCTCTCAATAAACCTCTACAAAGACAGCCTTTCAGCTCTTTCAATATTCTACTCTCATGATAAAGCAAAAGCAATTCCTTTCTCCTTTTCCCTATCTACCAGACTCCAAGAAGATGAAGGGACTTGCATACTTTCTTTTCAGCCCTCGTCCCCTGCAGTCATCCCTCTCCCTCCAGCCGGCCAGCACCAGGGCCTCTGCAATGCTCTCCCATTTAATTCTTGTCCTCAGTGGGGCTGCACAGACGTAACCAATTGCAATTTACCAAACACTTCTAGTCTGCCCAAGGCACCAGACTCCAGCTTGTTCTACATCTAGTGTGTCAACCCCGTGGGGACAAAAACATCAGACATTTCCTTTGCAGCTCAGGACTGATGGGGACAAAGAGCAGATCTATCAAAGCTGATACACAGTGTCTTTTTGAGACCAGAATGGAACAAAAGATTATGAAATCACCTACAATAATTCTTCTCTTTCTGGTTTGAATTCCTAGGAGGTGTTTTCCTGTCTTCCTAAAGCCATTGTCCTCCCTGTAATGGCTCAGCTGTTAATGTCACTGTCTTTTGAAACAGGTCACCCTAATGGCAAGTTTGCTTTAGGCATGTTGATTCAAGTTCATTAATATGCATGCTCTCTCTCCATTCATTTGTTTCTCTATTTACTTTGAAGTCGCTTTGTTGGAACCTGCACTGCTTTTCTGTGTTAAGACTCTTGGCTGGCATTTCTCAGCTTGCTGCATCTCTGTTTTTTATCCAGAACGGAAATGGGACCGAATGTTGCAAAAGCTACTAAATGGCACCTCAAGTGACATTTGGTGCCCAGCTGAAGGAATTTCTTGGCCTCCTCACCCTCACCACTGATAGATATTTTTAATACTTGTTCTCAAGTTGGCTGTTTACATTGCACATTTTAGGGCAAGTAATATCTCTGTATTTGTTAAGCATCTGCCCCAGGAGAGTACAGCCCCTCACTGTTCTTCTACAAAAAATAACACCACCTGGGTTACCTTAAGTCTCTTTCTAGATATTTCTTCCACCTGAAAGAGCTATTTCCAGCATGAGAGGAGAAATCAACTTTGACTCAGATATAAAATTCTCAGTGTGATAAGGCAAAGTGATTCAGCTGTCTTCTTTTATTTTTGGCTTTGTGATTCAGGAGCAGCTCATTGTTCAGATGACACAGTCAGTCATAACTGGAAACTTCTGTGAGGGGGAGGAGTAAAAGCATTTATATAATATTAAGAGGTCACTTTATATTAAGATCTCTACACAAACAGATCAGTATCAACTCTGTCCTCAGCAACAGGCCTATGTCATCCAAGGTTATTTTGGGGTAAAATATTTGGACATACCATTTTCCTCGAAGTACCTACAGGAATGGTCAGTTAGGTAGTTTCTCTTGAGACTGCATGTCATGTCAACATAGGTCTGCTTACTACTAAGTCCTTTCCTAGCAAACGTGGAAATAGCCACACAACCTTCATGATTCCCTCCTACAAACACCACTTTCTTCTCCAAAGCCATCTATTAGAAACACCCTGAAGTATGTGAGAGGAGATGGCCATGAGCAAGACACTGAGCGTATCTAACTAAAGGAGTGAAGCCAGTTTGAATAACTAAATTTAGTGGCCTTTTCTAGAAGGCTGCAAGACTAAAATCAAATAGGCACAAACACCTTTTTTGGCAGATGGGACTCATAGTCTCCACTAAGCCAGTGCACCAAAACTTCTACAGTTTAAATGAAACTGCTTTGACTCCACTCCAGCTTCAGCACAGTTGTTCCCAACCCTTTAAATCCCACTGCGCTTCTTGTGGAGAAAAGCAGTAGTAAGCTGGATAACGTTTAAAGTAGACAATTCTTCCATTTGATCTCACAGAATTTTTCGGGAGATAAAATACTTACATATGGAGCGGGTTTTTAATTTAATATAATTCATTAAATTATTTACAGCATTAGTTTTAACAGGATCCACAAAAGGAAGCATATAGTAAATTAACACAACCAAACAAGAGCGAGTGGTATAGAGCAGGAGTCACTAACCTATGTCACAATGCAAAGGGCTGCATGAGTTACTGGAATATGGCAAGACAGCAGGGCTGACAGGTGGGTCACGAGCTGAGAGTCCTGACAGTTTGACAGGGTCCCTCACACAAGGGCCAAGAAGGCTCCAGTTACAATAGCATCTAACAGCTTTAACACACAACCTCTTCCAGTTCACACTGTCTACTGGCTTGTGCCTCACTTGATGTAATACAGAATCCATCTCCCAGCTGCTGGCTGAAGTACTTGATCTTGGTCTAGATCTACTGCTGCACAGCCTTGGCTTATTAACTACATATTCTCCAACAGGAGCAGTAGCAAGGATGCAATGTCATCTGAAAATCCATCACACACTGCAATACAACGAAGAGCTGCAAAACACAACAGTGAGTACAGAAATACCAGTGCTATGAGCCAAAGTGGCCACCTGTGGAGGAATGAACAGCGTAGGGATGAAAGCACACACCAAAATGTTTCAGGTTAATTTTTTTTTCCAGGTTACCTTCCCTACTTATTTTCAGCACCTTAAAGTATACAAAATCCATCTCAGCTAGCCCTGAAAATTGCTGGTTATTGCACTTAAAAAGTAAAACTCACTACCTAGTGTGACCAGCTTTTGTCTTACTAGAAACAATGGAAAAACACCTAAAGCTCTGTGATTGTCATGTCATAGTCACCTGGAACCTGAAAATGTAGTCAGCTCTAATAAGACAATGCCCATCACTTCATCAACCAAAGAGGAGGATAGATGAAAGAGCATGCCACAAAAAGATTTTGACTCACAGTGGCTAATTTCTGAACATCTTCATCGGATGCTCCCAGTGAAGCAAGTCCTATCTCTTGTGAAAACTGTGCAAACTTGGGATCAGCAAGTAGAGGCACATGTCCCAAGAGTTCATGGCACGTATCCCTAAGGAAATGGAAATGAAAAGAATGTCATTACAGAAATTAATACCATAATAATTCCATAATTAATTTAACATAAGCCATTTTACATGGGTCTGACCCCTACTTTAAAAGTCTTAAAATGAAACACGGTTTTTAGTGTAGTAGTTCTTCCCTGTGAATGGTTTCTGCATGTATGTAGAAACACACACATTTGCTTCTGTTAAATAAGTTATATGTCATTTAACCCTACCTGTTCTGTGATTTTCTCATCATTTCCACATTGAGTGGGAGAGCCTGAGCACTACTGACTTGTAGACTTAGTGACATGAAGACTGAACTGCCCAAAGGCAAGAAAGCCAGGTGTTTAAGTATAATTTTCAGCATTTCTTTCCATACGAATCAAGTTCAAAATCCAACATATTCCCTCTTCCTCTTCTCCATTCCCCTTTCCATACCTGGGTAGATCTCTACACCAACATTTTGCCACTTGGCCCTAGAAATTTGGAGCAATATTCACAGAGGTTTCTGTGTGCTTAGTTTCTCATTTAGTCATGAGATCCTACTGCAATTACTGTGTACTTTTGTTATGCAGTCCACTTCTCAGCAAATGGATTTAAGAAAAAGCAGGAAACCCAAATCATTTCAGAAAGAACAGCTGTTCACATCTGTACGTGCATTATTAGTCATGACAAAGTGCAGACATAAGTGCACAAAAAACTCCTAACAAAAGTGCACATGCATCATCTACAAAAGCTCTCAAACAATTCTGAAAGTTTTGGTGTTTTGTTCACAAGAAATAATGGACTTGATAGTAAAGTTCACTTTAAAAATCCAATCTGACATTTCCTTTGCTTTTGTCTCTTCAAAGACATTTCTCTTTTTTTTTTTTTATCCTAAGTTGTAAACAAGCATTTTAAAGGCAAGGAGAAAACATCAAGTTTTCTGCCTTCTACCCAAAATCATCCAATTTGTGTTTTATAAACTATTTTTGTTTGAAAAGTCACAGAACCTGACACTTCAGTTAAATAATGAACAGAAAAACAACCTCTACGTAATTTAAAATCATCTTACTCAGTATCTTCACCAAAAAGTCTGCACCAACTATGTGTAAGTAGAGAGCAGTAGACATAGTTTCTAAATATGCAAATGAAGATTAAAATTTTTGGTATTCCTAGTCTGCCTCACCCAAAGTTTATCAAATATAGTTCCAGTGCTGGAGGGTCACATACAAGCTTCCTTATGAGTCCAAATGGCCTCACTGACAGATGTGTAGCATCATTTGCTCATGTTATAGTCACACTTTTCGGTGAGACAAGCATCTGCCTGAAGTTGTGTGTGACAAGTTTGAGCCAACGTCATATATGAGTAAATCATTCAATGAGATCCATAGCTTAGACAGGAGTCCCTTTCTCACTGAACCTCAGACTTGAAAAATTGGTTAGCTCCGCTGGTATCCATTTCTTTGTTCCCAAGGTGGTTTGCATCACCTGAGCAGATAATCATTAAAGGTTAATGACCCTTTTTTAATTAATTTAGTTCCAGTCACAACGATTTCTTCTATCATCTCCTGCAAGACTTAGCTTACTAACAATACAAAGGACCGCTGGAAAATGTAGTTTGAAGTCTGACAGATAAGTCCCAAGAATTCTCAGTACCAAGTAAACCTCAGTTTACTGGAGGAACATGACTTCTCCAACCATCATCTTTCAACACAGAAATGGGCCAAAAAGCCCATTCTCTGGAAGCCCAGAGCTCCAACTCCAATTCTTGCTGTCACTGAAGAATCGACAGTAATTGCTGAGCACCCATGCTACACTGTATCAGTCCAGATATATTTAGCTTTGTATCAGTAGTTCAAACAACAAAAGCAAAGACGACCCAGTGGGACCGGCTTCAAGTTCCTGGCTTCAGGTAAGCGTGGTTGTCTGCAGGCAGGCTTCTGCAGCAGCAGTACTGCTACTGATACCTGAGCAAGTGTCTACATCTCTGTTTTCCTGTGCTGAAGCCGCAACTCCCAGAAACAAATAAGCAAAGATGTGTTATTCCCAGTTCTGCCCTGGGACACATGGTCTTTGTTGCATCCACCTTTGCGGACAAAATGAGAACAGACAAAGCCTAATCCTATTAATTTGTCTCTCTTGGCAAGAGGAAGAGAATGAGGAGGCAGAAGATATTTCTCTCATGCTTTTAGCTCATATATTCTTCCATTAAAACTAGGCAAAGTGGTATTTTGCTCGTGCAGTTATAAAGAGGAGAGCCTGAAGTAAAAAGAGCATGAACAAAAAAAAACAAACCCAGAAAGTCTTTCAGACAGAAACACGAACCAGCATTTGGGATTGTCATTAGAGACTCTTAGACTTCCTGCCACTCTGGTCCTTTATAGATAGTCTAAACAACATAATTCTTTGCCTAACTACCAAAGCTTGATTCTTTTGTTTTGTTTTATTCAGAAAATAATTAAGTTCCTTTAATTTATTCACACACATTGCTCTGAGAAAATAAGACTTTTGTAATGCACTTTTTACAGCAAAAGATTTTTCTTGGAGTAAATTAGCTGAGCAGAGGAAATCTACATAGCCTTGTGAATGTAGCAGAAACATAATGAAAATCAGGAAGGAATGTTTTAAAATGCATACAGTAGTAATACAGATCAAACCAAATGAACTCTCCCATTTTTATCTATAGCCTGGGTGTTAAATCTGATGGAAAGCCCGCTGAAGTCAAAGGGAGTCTTTTCACCAGGTTTATATCATTAAAATGCAATATTCACCAGCCAGGGACCTGCAGCAAACCTCATTATGACCCCATATATCAACCAGCAGATCTCAGGGCATTGCAGCTACTGCAGAAGACGAAGAGCTGTCCCCACTCAAATCAATTTAGTTTTGCCATTGATTTAAAAAAACAGCCAGGATTTCACTGTACATTTCTGGTAACACTTACTATTTGCTCTATGCTATCAAAAAAACCTAAACATTTTAAAAGGGATTTTCAAATTTTCCCTATGGAGTTCCTGATAGTTAGTCTACTTTACTTAACTAATGTGAACAAGTAAGTCTAGAAGAAGAGAGTATAACATCATTAGAAAATGACAGCTTAATTCCTCTGTTAGTCATATTTAGCACTGTTAAGACCATAACCTGGATTTTTAAGTTCAGCCCAAATAAGGAATAAAAATCTTCATTCTAACTGAACTATTGTTCAGACTTCCCAGACATCTAGACCAGAAAGGTTACAAAAAAAAGTAGCTGCCATTACTACTGGGGATCAGCTGTGATCCACTGCATAATTCTGAATGTAAGCAGCATCCTGAAAACTACAGGGCTCTCAAATGCACAAATCAATGAACCAGAGAACATCAGCAAAGGCACAGACACGCTTAATTGCTTCCTGGAAAATATTTCTTCCTTTCATTCTGTTGAAGTTATGCACCTAAATCTCCTATCAGTAGATGAAAACATTCTTCTAGTTTGTACTAAGCTAATAAATGTCATTATCCTTTTACTGAACATTGGTACATGCTGCAGTCTGAAACTGGCTTCCCACAGGAGAAGAAATCATTGGTGCAAAACCTGGTACTTCCTAAGTATCATTTATTTTTTCGAAATATCTACAGATATTTTTAGATGGACTGGAAGAGGTTCAGCATCACATATCCAAGCCCTTCTTTCAGGATTTTATGTTGTAGCAATTTGGCTACAAAATTAAGAGATTAAAGTTTAATTACAAAGGTTATAGAAGTGAATGAATTCCTTCAGGGATCACCATCTCCTCCCCAAAAGAAACACATATATAAAACTAGCCTCAGAGCATTTCAGCAAATACTTTGCCCAGTTCAGATGCTGACAAGAAAGGTAGATAAGTGTCTAACAGCACCACCTGGTGACTCCGGCCAGAATAATACTAGCACATTTTTAGATACAGCTTAATATGCAGTTCCGTGAAACCTTTTATATACAAAAATATTACTCCGTGGTTTTGGCTGTCAATTCATCAAATCCAAGTTAGGCATGAGTCCAAATATTTACAGAATTGGAGCTGAATATATATGTATAAATCCTTTGTGTAAATTTGGGCAAAAAAAATCAAATACACTCAGGTAGTCCGAGCTGTTTAAACCACAGCTACAATTTCATGCTAACTGCCTAATGACTGATTCACTGCAAAAATGTCAGTCCTGTGGTTACAAGATCAGCAGATGCCTTTGGTAAAACTACCTCCATATTATCTAACTGACATGTATTGTTCTGTTATTAGTGCACAGAACACACAAGACAAGAACTATAGTCACTTTGATCTTCTTCCCCACTTTTCATCAAAAGATCCTATGCCAAAATATTTCATACAAACTCGCAATATTCTGTTTTGGAAAAGCTGCACTGCTGTCCCATGAAAGCTGTAATTAAAACGTTTCTTATTTCTATCATGTTCCCTGTAACAGGTTTCATATCTAATATTCTCTCTTGGTGAGAGACCAGTGCCTCATGACTTGCTTGCATTGTGTTACAGGAGAGAAACAAATTTCAGCTGTGAAGCCTGGTCCAAAAAGAGAAAAATGGGAACACGGAAGTCCAAATTATAATTCTAAAAACAATGTTTTTTCAGGAGATTCAGGGCTTTTTTTCACAACTTCTTTCTAGTTGTCCAAGAGAAAATAAAACTTTATACATTTTTCTCAAAATTTCCAGTTGAAAATTCTATTTTCCCCTGAAATATAATCCAAATAGGATTTTTGACACACCACAATATAACCCAGTTATTCAAGATCATTGTAAAAAGTCACCAAAAAAGTCTTTGAATTCAATTTTGGCTCACCAACATAAAGTATTTTGTCATCAAATCCTTCATCAATGCCATCATGGTATAAGAAGATTTTCACATTTGTAGGAAGGTTCCTCTTTTCAATCTTGGCAAATTCAGTTGGGTCTTTTAAGAATCTAGTGAGTGTATTTTTTCAGTACTAAAGCAAATGCAGCAACTTACGGTTCCGGTGTGTAGAGAGGATCCGAGCCATGTCGTATATACTGAGTACAGTGAAAAACTCTATATGCTAAGCCAGCTAAAAAATCCCGGGGAGACAGGTATCCAGCAACTGGTCTCACTGTGAAGCCAGACCTTTCTGAAGTGAAGGACATAATAAAAGACCACATTATACATATATCACTATATCAGTTTCTGGTGACAGATCTGTTGTTAATTATTCTACCAGAAGCATGACATGAAGAATCTTGGCTGAAGATCACTGCATATCATTTTCAATTATTATGCACAAGAAGCATTTTGCATTGCTAGCATATGTATAATGAAAACAGCTTAAGATATTTCAAAGTTGGTTTGAATACCCCTGTCTGGAAAAAAAATGCTAGGGTGCCATAAGTGATGTTCTTAATATTTTTATATCTAGTACCAAATGGGAGAGAAGTTTCCATATCAGAAGATGGTCTCTGTAAAATATGTTAAAAACTAACAGAATAGCATTATAACAAATTTGTCATTATTTTTACAGATAAAATATTGCTTGTGACAATAAAATACTGGTTTTTATAGTTGAGGTCCTCATTTAAACATTTAATAGTGTTCCTTTGACAGATTAGTCACAGAGAACAGCTTCAGATTCAGTGACTTTAAAAAGCCTGTTTCTCTCAAAAATTAATTCTTCACTCTTTCAAAGTTTTTACAGGAGAATGTTTCAAGTTTTTCTGCAACAGATACTACTACTGCTATATGTAGTCTGAAACATAGTTCTGAAAGAAGTGTGAGATCTTGAATTTCTAGCTAGGGAAAAAGAATTTAGCATCATTCCTTAGAGACCATAATACAATATATGACAGACCCAGAAAGACACAGTCAAATTCAAAGAATGATGAATCAGCTATTAGTAAATGCAGATGTTCACAAAAAAGATTTATGGATGAAGCACGGACTGAGGAAAGTTACCCTGTCATTACAAATTTCATTATTTCTTTTAGCTAAGGATTTTCCACATATATTTGGGACAAAATGCTCTGCTAATTATTCTCTTAACAGCACATAATTTTTTTTTCAAACACTCATCTCTATAATATTTTAGTTCCTGAGCAAGAGGATTAAGGAACAAATATATGTATCTGGGGGGACCTTTGAGAAGAAATTAAAATCTTAAATTAACTCTTTGGTGGCTTTTTCTCTACAGCTAAACCCAACAAGTTTGTGTCTGCCACATCTTCCATATGGGATACATTTCCACTACAGATGAAAAATAACACTATTTTCAAACTTAAATATGTAATATACTGATCCTTAAAAAATTAATATGAAAGAGAAGTATCAGATCATCTAAAGTGATACATTTTTTTCATCATACAAATATAACAACTAGCTTCATGAGGTCTTAAGCACTCAGGAAAGCTTCATATTCATCAGGCTGTAAAACAATATGCCAAACCTGCTTCCCTCTTTAAATTCAGTTATCTTTGCATGTGATTCCCTCTTTTACTTTCCTGGATATTTGGGGGATGCCCACTGCACTTATGAGAACTCCCAACCTGTGGCAATGAGAGAACACAGCTAACTCAGCTCTTTCTTTTCATTATACTGAAGGGCTTTTCTCCCCATGCAAGATAATCACAAAATCATAGAATCAATCAGGTTGGAAAAGACCTCCGAGATCATCAAGTCCGACCCTTGATCCAACACCACCGTGGTTACCAGACCATGGCACTCAGTGCCACATCCAGTCTCAGCTTAAAAACCTCCAGGGACAGAGAATCCACCACTTACCTAGGCAGCCCATTCCAATGTCTGTTATTCTCCCTGTAAAGAATTTCTTCCTAATATCTAACCTAAACCTCCCCTGGCACAGCTTAAGACCATGCCTTCTTGTCTTGCTGATAGCTGCCTGGGAGAAGAGACCAACCCCCACCTGGCTACAACCTCCTTTCAGGGAGTTGTAGAGAGTGATGAGGTCTCCCCTGAGCCTCCTCTTCTCCAGGCTGAACAACCTCAGCTCCCTCAGCCTCTCCTCATAGGACTTGTGCTTGAGTCCCTTCACCAGCCTTGTTGCTCTTCTCTGGACCTGCTCCAGCACCTCAATATCCTTCCTGAACTGAGAGGCCCAGAACTGGACACAGTACTCCAGGTGTGGCCTCACATCATGCTTTACATGTTCAGCTGTTTAACTTCTCTCAATTTCATACATGCAATACATACATAAAACTGTCTTGACTAAAAAAAACTCCCTGCCATGGAGAACATCAAAACCAGAATATTTCAGGCTAAACCAAAGACCACTGACAATGCTGAGAATCTTTTCATTTAATGTGCTTTGCATTCCATACTAAGAAAAAAGAGTGTTTTCATTGAACTATATCTACTGATAAACCAAATATGAATCTTACCTTTAAGAAAAATAGAAACATCTTCCAACTGAGGCACATTATCCTCTCTGTATCCACAGTACTTGGTCAGCAGAGGAAAGTTTTTTAAATATTCACGACAGGCATGGGTGGGATAGAGTTTACTGAGTTCCCTAAATACCACCCCCCACGTTTTAACTTCTTCAGCTGTGTACTCCACTCTAGGAATGGGTTGACCACTGTAAAAAAAAATTAAATACAAAATACATCTGAATACAACTAGGTTCTAGACAGATTATGGAGAGCAACATTTCTGCAAAAAGTATTATTTAAATAAAGGCAAACAGAGACTACTAAAACTATTTAAACTATTTTAAATTGACAACTAGATGCTTTTTTCTCAGAATTATTTCTTGATGTTATGATGTACATATTCTACCATTTTCTTAAGAACTGTATTTCTTTTTAAACAATCACATTGTTTCTTAATCTTTGTACATATCATAGTAGAAAGATGCATTTCTTATATGCCATATTCCTATATCATGCTAGTATTTCTCCACTTATTGCCAAAGATGCCTTTGCAAGTGGACAGCTGAAGATCCCGATTCAATCTAATGTGTAGTTTCAGTAAGACAGCAGACTGCATGCTCTATGCATTCTTTAAAATACACAATATTCACACAGCATCATTACCTAGCATTTTGTGAAGATTAGGCAATTACATAGATGCTTAGAAATGTATAGATCCAATTTAAAAATATATATTCATTGTTTAGACTGTTGCTTACATGTAAAGATATGTTTGGAACCCCAAATTCATCATCAGGAAGCTCACCTCAGAGCCAGTTTCACCTGCCCAGCTGAAATTAAGTCTGTAAATACATCTCTCCTTTTTTTTTTTTAATTCTGCCCTGTTCCTCTGCCCTCTCCCATTTACAAAGATGTACAGAAATTGCAAAGCAGGAGCCTTCCAGGGTACCTGCTAAACTGTTTCTGACATTCAAGATTTGCCTTGAGTAGTTACAGCTAATTCAAAACTGACTGATAGTGTGAACAGTGCAAAGAGTTCCTTCCAACTTGCACTGCCTTGTATTTAGTTGTAAGGAATTTTCCATGTCATGGTCATGGGGTATCATCTCATGTCATTAATTCCCCCTAGAATGTTATAATCTTTCTCTAGATTTAATATTCGCAATCTATGATATGTAATCTCTGCCATCTGCCTTCTCCTCGGGTATCTTCTTTTGCTGCACTGTAACGATGATGTACAGACTGGCAAAGGGATTCATATGATCCTCCTCCCTTTTATCAGTTCTTATGTCCCATCCCTGTGCCAGGGCTGGACAGGTGGGCACTTCCAGCCCAGTACTGCAGCTTCCACAGTATCCCAGACAGCAGCTGAACAGGTATACTGGGCACGGGGAACCCCACTGCAGCAGAAGAACTGCAGGGCTGGGATTTTGCTAGAGGTTGTTGCCCAGTTCATAATCCTGCCTCCACTGTACAAGGTAACAAGGAACGAGCCCTCATGTCACATTTGATTGGTGATATGCAGTCCCTTCATGCACACGAGAGGATCACCTGCCCTACATTCATTGTGGTTGTCCCCTCATCTTTACGAAAAACTTACCATTTAATCCCCCTGCCTTTTGCTATATCAAAGGATTTTCATCCATGGCAGTTATCTGTCAGTCAAAGGCTACTTTGTATGAGGTACTTATACTTGTTAAGGTCTCACTGAATACCCAATACATTCACTAGTGTCCCGTCAGCCACTCTTGCAGATGTGACAAGAATTGCAACACATTTAGTGAAGTATTTCTCATCCACAGAAGCTGCACTGGGTTCGTGCCCATCCTGCAGTGGGAGTCAGTCCTACAGGTCTAGTATCTGTCTTCCCCCTTAACACTTCATCAGCCTTAAACTGCCTGCCAGCTCATGGAAAGCGTAGCACAACTATTCTAAATTGTACTTCACACGACAAGCACAAGTAGGTTGCTACTCCATCCACTTGGTGTGCCAGAATACCCAGCCTCATCCCTTTTCCTTAGGTCTGACCTCTACGATGGGTACTGCGGTATGGGTCAGCACTGGCCCATCAAGAAGACACACATGCACCAGTGGAAAAACTCATGTTTCTATTGTCACGAGAAAGGTATAAACACAATCAAGGATTTGAAGCTTGTCCACTGCTCACTAAAAGGTTTGTAACTTAGTTATTGTTTCAATTAATTCATTAGTAAGTTCAATTAATTAGTAAGTTTCAATTAATTCATAAAGTAAGGTTCACTGAACATTAATTCCTTAATAGGATTTATGCATAGGAGAGCTGATCTTACTTCCAGCTTATCATGATACTGCTTTCTTTATCAAGAGAATCAAGGCAGCCAGACTTGAGGGAGGATCTACACCTTTTTCCCTCAGCCCTGCAAACCTCATTTTTCTTACCCTCATATTTCAACAAGCAGGACCCACCTTGCACTCAAACATTTCAATAAATCACAGAAAAAGTCAGCCTGCATAGCCAGCTTCCTCGTGGCTAAGATGACTCTACAAGCTAACCGAATCTGAATTTTTATTTCTCCTTATTAAAATAGGGTCTTTCCATTTTGCCATGGGCATGAGCTATCAACTCATATCATAAATTCCGTCTTAAACATCATATGTTTCCTCCACATTTAATTTTCTCAACACTTTTCCAATCCCTAATCAGTCTCAAAGGACTAATTAGGAAGATTAATGCATTTTCACTATCTTTAAGATAGAAGCTAAGTGAAGGAGGGAGAAATATGGGGTTTTATGGGTTTTTTGGTCCATTTATTTCATACAGCTGATCTTCACTCCTCTGCTCTATTAACATGTCTTCCCCTTTAACACCCAGCTCCAGCAAATATCTGCTCTTCCAACCTCACTTCTTAGTGTTTTTCTCTTTCTCTCTCCATTACAGATGCCACTTTATGTTCAAACAAAGCAGAGCATCTACCACTATAGAACAGTCACAATTCATAAAGAAAACGCTGATCTGGGCTTTTCAACTCAACAACCTTTTACGGAGCCAATTCCTTGCAGTCAAATATCTTTGTTAATTTTTTTAAGGAAACAAGTGTGGTTAGGGTTTTTTTTACGCTGGAAAATGAAAGGTAGAAACACATCAAGCTTCAGTCAGTGATTAGGAAGGTCACTTACCTGGAAGACACTGACAGGTGTTTATCCCCAAGGAAGCAGCCTTTATAACAGAGTTGGTCATTTTGCATAAATAAGTAAAGAGACACTAGACCACAGAGGTGAGTGTGATGAGACTGCAGTGCAGTGTCAAGACACCTATAACTCTAGGCTCCACAGCAGGGGTAGCAGAAACAGCTCAGCTGTAGCAGCACAGAGTCCTCCCTGAGCTGATTTGCCTTTCCTCTGTATGGCTTAGGCTGTGCTGCAGCAGAATGCCAAGCATGTCTCTACACACATACCCAGACACATCCTGACTGTACATACCAGCACATATGGCACATCCCTGGGGTTAAGGATAACCACTGCAGGAAACCTGACTATGAATGAGATCTTGACACGTTAGGTAACTGCCCTAAGCACTGGTCTGCCAGTTATTGTGGTCCTGGCTAAGAATATTTTAAGCCTCCTGTTTTCTCTCTGCTTGCAATAAAAGGACAAGTTTGAAATCTTTTAAAGGTTTGGAAAGAGCAGTGAAATAAAGGAGTACATCTGAGTAACTCTGCTGAAGTACAAGATCTGGCCCCTAAATAATCTCTAGTTATTTTATTTTTGTAATGTGCCTGCAAAATGGTTCTTAAGCCTTCAAAATCCAAAGAAGGAAAAGATTTTTCCTTTCTTTTATCTGTTGTTTTGGGGTTTTTTTTCTGGGAATATGTAGGATTACTTTATGCGATTTTGTGAAACGATGTTTCTCACTAGTTTCAGGGTGAAAAAAAATCACATTTTGAAGCAGAAGACCAACTACACCTTAGTATGCCAACTGCATGACCTTTCCAGCACTAAGCTGAGAGGAAGAAGGGAGGAAGATATTTCCAGCAAGTGAGCAGGTGTGAAATGCATGGCACTACTGCTACTATCATGGGTAAATGGAGAACTATCCAACATACTGAAAGAGCCTAGGAGCACACACAGCCTGTCCTCATGCACAGGTATCCACTTGACATTTCTCACTGCACTAAATGCTAGCACTAACTTCACTGCAAGCATTAGATTGAAAAAAACCCTAATAAATCAATCAGCTGAAAACAAATATACAAACAAAAAACTGTCTCGATTTACATCTGAAAGCTGCCTAAACTCAGGACTTACCTGGGCAGCCTAGAGAGCTTCTCTATCAAGCAACACTGTCCCAGCAGGCAGCAGCTCAGTGTGCTGGGTGGATGTCATGAGCATCCAGCTAAACAAATGCCACTGTGGGCAGAAAGGGGAACAAACACTAGCACCTACACATTTGTAAGATTGGTAATAGCTTAATGACAGGAATGGGACAAAAGTAAAGGAGAATTATAATCACAAATATATGGTCACAAAGCAGATTTAATACTTCTGTCCCCACAGCCTTCTGCAGGCCCTATACTAGCCTTATAATGAAAAACCTTTCAAAATCCAGTTTTGAATGCTTCCTGACAGGACGTGCCTTCTATAAAGGGAGAAAAAAATTGTGTGTTTCATCTTCTTTAAACAACGTAGGTAGAAATCTCAAAGGAGAAAAATGAAAAACCTGAAGAAGTGTGGTAAAATGAAAAAGATCATGAAATTAGTATGTTCTTTCCCTTGAGAATGAGTGCTTAAGCCTGTTGCAAATAAAACCTAGAGTAGGATTAGAATTAGTTGAATGCTTCTGTGACAAGAAAATTGCAACACAGTAGGTGTTTGTAGGTAGAACAGAAAGTTTCTTAACTTCCAGGGACTGTAGAAATTGAAAATACTGACTTGAAATGGGAAAAAAAATCAAAATGAAAAAACACATGCAATGCATTTATGCACAGGCACCAGCTCCACTGCAGAGAAATGCACTGACTAAATTCTAAGAAATTTGGAGCTGTGTAGGCAAAATTGATAAATGGCACTTTGCAGCATGCAGTATCATCACAGAATTATTAAGGCTGGAAAAGAACTCTACAATCATCAAGTTCAACTGGTAACCCAGCACTGCCATATTTGCCACTAAACCTTGTTCCCAAGTGCAACATCCACCCATCTTTGGAACACTTCCTGCAATGGTGATTCCACCACTTCCCTGAAGAGTCTACTCCAATATCTGACCACCCTTTCAGTGAAGAAATTTTTCCTAATATTCAATCTGAACCTCCTCTGGTGCAACCTGAGGTCATTTCCTCTCATCCTGTCACTTGTTATCTGGGAAAAGAGACCAACTCCCAACTCAGTGCAACCTCCTTCCAGGTAGCTGTAGAGAGTGGTAAGGTCCCCCTAAGCCTCCTTTTTTCCAGGCTAAACAACCCCAGCTCCCTCAGCTGCTCCTAAACCCTTCTCTCTAAACCCTTCACTAACTCCACTGCCCTTCTCTGGACATGTTCCAGCACCTCAATGTCCTTCTTGTAGTGAGAGGCCCAAAACTGGACACACGACTCAAGGTATGGCCTCACAAGTACAGAAGGATAATTACTGCCCTGGTCCTGCTGGCTACACTATTTCTGATACAGGCCAGGATGCCACTGGCCTTCTTGGCCACTGGCTACACTGCTGGCTCGTTCAGATGCTGTTGAACAGCACCCCCAGGTCCTTTTCCGCCAGGCATCTTTCCAGTCACTCTTCCCCCAGCCTGTAGCTCTGCATGGGGTTGTTGCAACCCAACCTGGCACTTGGCCTTGTTGAACCTCACACGACTGGCCTCAGCCCAGTATAGTACATGCATCAAAAAAAGAAATAATAATTTTGGGTTTTAGTGAGCTCTTTCAACTACACTGGGATGCTAGATATGTGTACTCAGAAGTGTGTCAGTGAGACATGCAAACATTTGTAAAATATTTCCTTAAGTCTAAGCATCTGTGAATAAAATGCTGAAGAGAAAGTGCTTGCCTTTCAAATGTTTTACTTGCCTGTATCTGTATCAAAAATGTAACAGGATTCAAGCATCAGGTTTGTAATTTATAGCCCACACTAAACAAGTCCAAGTTTAAAAGATGACTTTGTCTACCGTTAAACTTTATTCTACAGAATTAAATAGAGCATGAATTCTAATTAGTCAGCAGCACAGGGAAAAATTATGCCAGTACTTACTATTTATAGCTCATGGCAAGATCCACAAAGTACTTTCTTCTCTGTCGATAGACATTGTCTTTAAATCCCTTAAGCAAGGAAGAAGAGAGTCATTTACAATAAGGACATAAAATTAGCTGTGAGAATTATAAAATAAACCATTACAGTGTTTATTTAGTACTTAGTTGCACTGTATTTTGATTAACACTGTCTACTGGACTGCAACAGAAAAAAAGGATTTCTTCATTTTTTTCTTCACCAAAGTCCCATAGGAGACCATTCAAGACAGTTTTGTGCATAGGTACAGTCATTCATCCAAGATGTTGATAAGGGAAACTTTTTCTTGTCATTTCATCTCATTCAAGTTTTCCTTGATCTGAATGGAGATCTACATGCAGGCACATAGCAGAAGAATTTACCTATCCTTAATACATCTTTCTTCACTAGAATCAAGCGTCTAGAGATCATAAGCAACTCATTTTGAAGATTCTTATTTCAGCAGTTGCCATCCTAACTAACACATTAGAGATTGAATCATCAACATCCAGCACTATATAGGCATATTGCTTCAGTCTGAGTTACAAAGGAAGGGCTCTACCTCATGGGCTACAGTAAGTTCATACCTTTTCTATATTAAGTGCAAAAGAGTTGTATAGCACATACACACTGGCCATTTACAACTCTTTGTGCTATTCAAAATTAGAACAAGATCTGTTCTACACATATAAAATATGCAGACACTTCAGGTTTTGCATTACAAGAGTTAACTTTTTTCAAGGTAGAACTGTCAATCTCTTGAAGATAAAAAGGATAAAAACTTATCTAAGTTCCCCAGTTAGTGGTCCACAAAGTGCATTTAAGTTTCCCTTATTCAAAGCTGAAAATTAAAATGTCTTTTTTCCTTATTGTTCACATACACAAACGCAATCACTGAACGGAATGAAAAGATAACATGGCTAGATTTGAAATATTTGTATGAGGTTCCATAAAGCTCTGAAGACATTTTACTGCCCCATAACCAAAGCTGTGCTGCTGGGGGAGAGTAAGTGAGGATTTCAGAGGACTGCAGAAAACCTTCCTACACAAAGAAGCTTGTTTGCTGTAATGTGGGGGAGTCTCCTTGTCTCCTTAATACCTTTTGACAAAAATGATGAGTTACTCAGGTGAAGACCATTCAAGACCTGGAAAGTCATGGAAGACAGCACAGGGGACTTAAATGCCTGTCAAGTGTAGTGAAACTGAGACTGAAATCATTAGCCAGTACAGAGTGGGTTAGGGCTATGCTGCTGAAGCAGTACTATCCTTACAGGTTCTGTACTAGGATAATTGTCTTTGGTCCTCTGGCACCAAATGCCACCGCTAAGGAAAAGGGCAGATATTTTTAAAAGCCAGCCACAGATTTACAGGTTTTTACCCCATTTCTAACACCTAGCATACTGTATGGTGTGTAAATTATGTTTGTAAGAGTTCCCCCAAGGGTAAAATATATATTCATATAATGCAAATGTCTTTTTTTCATTTTCTGTAAAACTGAAGGCAAATCTTCAGCAGAGTGCTACAGTATTTAATGAAGGTACCAGCTCAAAATATAAACAGTATCCAATAGTCTGTCACAGTCATAAACTCAAAGTTGGAATGAGCTGTCACTACAACCTCTGTTTGAACCAAATTATGGTTAATGGATGAAGATAATCAACAGGCTTTTCCCTTCTGAGAAAATGTGAAGCAAATCCTAGTTTGTCATCAAGAAGCACATGGCAGAAACCAGGATCCTCAAACATGCTCCCTGACTGTGGGCCCACAATGTGGGAAGGGCTCACACATGGCAGAAGTAGCTGTGAATGAAGCAAGATGATGATTATTATTGATACATGGGCAAGTGACACCAGACAGGGAAATGGAGCTACCAGGAGACATTGTGATGGCGTTCTCCTGGTATGAGTGCAAAGGTGTGAGAATCTGTGCCTAAACTCCCACTGGACCACAGACTGTGTGTAACAAAAAACAAAGCAGACTATCACCTACAGCTGCAGTTTAATCTGACTGTATTACAAAACAGTCTCATGGTCAGATATCTTAGTTTGCCGCCTACTTCCTTTCAGCTGGAAGTTTCCTACAATACTAGTTTAATCCAGCCTATTTTAGGAATTAATACAACTAGCTACCACCACTATCTTTCAGTCAAGTCGTACAGAGGTAGAAACTGGGATTATAAAAAGAGAAAATATTTTAACACAAATGCTTTCAATCATCTGCCATCTAAAAACTCAGAGGCTAAGCGTTTATGGAAATTAGCTGAAAGAAATAAAACAATAACAAAACCATTTTTCTGTCTTTTGCACTGAGCATTTGGCAACACTGCAAACACAGCTTGTGTGAAATGCAGGCTCATCTCCTGCCACCAAAGTCAGGAAACAATGTGAGACACCTTCCCACCTGCTGCATTCATCAGAAGCAGGAACATATTGCTCTGTTTTATTTTGTAGTTACCTCCTGAGTGACAAACTATTCCTTCATATTTCTTTCCTTCATATTTCCTTCGTTATTCCTTCATAATTCTTTCTTCTCTGACACCTATTGACAATATCAGTTCTTATCTAAGAGCTACTTGTGGCATAACTGAAGGTCACATTGATCTAAACTCTTTAAAGTTTGAAACCTTTCTATCAACTAGGTAATTTAAAAAAAACAAGCAAACAAGCATTACAAAAGGGGACATACTTGTTAAACAAAGAATAAGTTTTCTAGAGGACCTCCATCTTGTGTATCCTTCTACAGAAAAGGAAAATTAATCTACTGAAACTACTGAAGAGAGAGTAGTCCCCACGTTCTGAAAACAATCAGCAGTCAACAGACTTTTTATCTGACTGGCAAGTAACCTGAACAAATTATCTACGGGATAATTTTGTGTTACACTTACAGGGTGATCTGCATCCAGCTCAGATCCATACATCAAAACTCTCTGGGAACATTTGTCCAATTCAGATATCTTCCTGGGGAACCAAGGGACACAGTCGAGATCTGCAGAAGACAGAATGCAAGTTGAACGTCCTGGAGTGTAAGATTATGGAGAGACTTGTGCAAAACGTTTGTCAGTGCCTAAGTGATACGAAAACAGCCTTACCTTCTTCGTCAGTCCAGATGTTTTCTGGTGGATTGAGAGATACGATATTAGTTTGAAACTTGAGCAATTGGATTAGTTCATTAAATTCTTTCTTACTGCAGTCACAGTCCACAAAAATTTCCACCTCCGAATTCCTTCTCTTTGATTTTCGTGATTCAATATGAACCATACTCACATGTTTTTCCTGTGGAAAGATGAAATAACAGATGAAATACAGACATACCAGCAGAAGGGCAATACTGATAGCACATTCTTCAGGAAAGTTTTTCCAGTTATTAAAGACTGTTTTATTGAAAGTAGTCCCTTTTTGTATTTATAGAATCAGTTAGTGACACATAAGAAATACTGATGAAAAAAAATCTGTACAGAAAGTAAAAATAAAATTATTATATAGTTAATGAAGAAAACAAACTAATGATTTCATTTTATCTACAAAGACAGTCTCTTACAGAGGACAATATAACAATTTTATATTATTACTTTTATATTGCTATATTAAATTCTAATGCAATTTTACTAGGTAATGTGCATAATAATAAATAGACTTGAGTGTGCTTCTTTAAATAGATGCTATTAAACATGTATGACTTCAGTCTCTCTTATAAACATGCGAGGAAGAAAATATTTTTGTGAGAATGTGTATCAGCCTCACCTATCTATTGTGTAGCAATTATTGATAGCAAAAAGCATTAACAGTAATAAAATTGTATTAAAATTGAAATGTAATTCAATTTATTTTCTATTATAATGTCCCCAGCGAACTCAAATCATGCATCAAAGATGAGAGTGTAAGTACTTCTAGCATGAAAACTTTCCTTTGGGGTACCTCTCAACACAACTACTGGTCTGCCAAGGGTGTAATACAATGACAGACAACCATAATGTGCTATGGTTGTCCTGATCTAGTGCTGTGACAGCCTCGCTTCTAAACAGAAGTTGGATTAGATGACTGCTTTCTAACAATACTTCTATTAACTCTGATTTTTTCCTTTTTTTTGGTCAGACAGAAACTATCTGTTACTTTTCACAACTATCCTTTCACTTACTCAGTGAAGTCAATAAAACATTTTTTGATATCCAAATGGGATGAACTTTGTTCTTGTACTTCCACTTGCCTGCTGTATTTTGAAAAAAGGCTTAATACAATTTTACATAAATACCATTTCAGGTGAAGGTCTCCTCTGGTACCGCCAACTAGCAGTCTCTGCTTTTACACCTCTGGCTGTACATACATAATTCTTTCACTGGCATGCTCCATAACATATGTATACATTGTAGCTAACTCAACCATATAACAAATTCACTCTGATCTACCCTAGGTTAAGTGGAGAACAAAACCCCACACTCTCCCGTACAATACTCAAATTGTTGTGACTATATGAATGGGGGTGATGTCTCTGCTACATCTTCCAACCATATTTTGAGAGACCAGAGTGACTTATACACCTATTCCCAAGGGGTAGTTGATGTGCAAATCCAAAATTTCAGATATAAACTCACACAAGCAATTAAGCCAGAGCTGCAGTCAGACATTTAACCCTTGGAGAGAAACTGCATTGAAAACGTGACTCCTTCTGAAACTTCTGTTCACTGCCTTAGGCTTCCCCTCTTCCTATGAAACACCCTGCTTCCTGGCAGCCTCCCTCCTGTGGGTCTAACTCACCCCTTTTCCCAGGCTGGGGAATGTAAGTATCTAATCTACATCAGCCTTGGGGATCTGCTCCCAGAGACAGCAACTCTGAGTGAGGACTGGCAACATCTTCTAAGCCCTCTTCCATTCATTAAGGTGGCAAGCAGACTACAAGCAGTACTAGCAAGCAGTCTGACTGAAAAGCATCGACTGCATTGGGATCTATGGGGAAACAATACTTCACAATTTACCTTCCAGTTAGACACATATGTCCCCTACCCTGCACGTACTTAAAGGTCTCTTTAACTTTGTGACCAAATACTGTCCTGCAGCAAGGCTGCTGCCACCACCACCTGATTGTGTGTAATTTAGGTTTCAAAGTGCTCTCTGCAAGTGCCTCATTTCATTGTGGCCTGCACAGACTGCAAATCTAATCCCCGGTGTTGAGTTACACATCGGAAACCTAAAGTGAACGGTGTAAACATCAGCATCACTGTTAAAACTTCATTCCAGAAAACCCTTCACGAGCCCAAAATGCTTTGTTGAATGGTCCATAAAATTTTAAGTTACTTTCATTCAGTTCTGCAGAGTGAGTGTAACTGCACTCTATTCCTTCCGCCGCAGTCCATTAGATTTATACCAACAAAGAGCCTGACCTCAGTAGCCTTCATCAGTTCAGTCAGTGTAGAGATCTGTAAGCTTTACCTGGAAGAGTCGGAGAGCTTTCACCAATCCACCAACTTCATTCTTCAGGGAAAACACCACAGCTGTCTTTCCACCTTCAGAAACAGATTCATTTTTCCCATTTCCCTTATTCCCTTTCTTTTCCTCATTTTTCCCAGAACTCGATCTGTTTAGCTACAAATGGATAAAGAACGCGATCATTTCAGATGAAATTGGGCATTTCCCACAAAGAGAAATTTTTGTTAGAAAACAACTGAACAGAACTCATCCAGACTTTACTTATTCAAAAGGTAGTGTGTTTACTTAAAATCAGAATCACAGATCAAAGGTAGCTGCTAGAGACAATTGTGTAAGAGGCCATTCCATTAAAAAAAAAGCTTAAGGAAAAGCATATAAATAGGATACAAATACGATGGTATTACCAGGGCAATACTATCATTAGTAATAAATATGAAGCAAACGAAGACACTCTAAATTACTGGAAAAGCCGGCAGCTCTGTTATTCTAACCTGACTATTGCTGCAAAATTGCAGGGATGCTATTCTAACCTGTACCAGTCAATTTACGAAGATTTGCATTGGTCTGTACATTTGTATTAACCATTAAATTTAAAACATAAACTTTACGGTCTCTGTTGCAGTACAATTTGCTGTCATGTAACTTTTCCTGAGAAAACAAAACCTCTGTTCATTATACAAACAAGGTGGAAATACAAGCTCAGACTGCACCACAGAATATCAAGTTGGACAGGACCTCAAGGATCATCTGGTCCAACCTTTCACAGCAAAAGCAAGGTCTAGACAAGAAGCCCCTAGCACCCTACCCAGCTGAATCTTAAAATTGTCCCTTGGGAAGATTATTTCAATAGCTGACTGTTCTCATTGTGAAAAACTGTACATCCCATAAAAGAGGAGTTAGCTGAGGAACTCAAAAAAAAATACAGAAAATTACACCATCCTTGGTGAGTCCTACATTCTTTTCACAATTTGGGAGTCAAAGACTGCTTTAAGCCAAACTTCAGCCAGCATTTTCCAAAAAAAATGCAATTTTATCACCTTAGATCTTGTCAAGATGCAAACAGTACAGTTTTTATAGACAATTTTTATAAGATGATTTTCAAAAAAACAGCCTGTATTTTCCAATACTCTGTCACAACTTCAGAAGTTTTGACTCCTGAAGAAATTAAATCTCCAGTGAGATGCTGCTTTTTCATAATCCATAATACAGTCACTAAAAATACAAAGATTTAAAATCATACACAACTATTTCACATGTATTGAACTGTCTTTTACTAATTTATAAAGCAGCTTACAGAAAATAACCTGAAAATGAAGCTTTTCAAACAGGTCTTAGAACACCCTTCAAATGGCACAGGTTAAACCAGCCACATTTAAACTAGTTGCGGGACATGCTAAGAAGCCTCCATGGTCTTTTCTCACCATTTATTAGACTACATGGAAACAACCTGGAAAAGCAATTAAGTTTGCAGAATGATATATGAGTGATTTCACACATGTTTATTTTTTAGCAATTGAGCTCATATGATTCTGCTCAGTAGGAGATTTGCCCAGGGACAGTAATGGGGAAGGTCACTTTCAACTTCAGTAATATTTGGGATTTGGCTAAGTCATATACATCAGGCACACAACACCCACATGAAGCGACAAAGGTTCCATTTTTATAGCATCTGTGTTTTTTCCATGTGTGCTGCTTTCTAGAAGCTACATACAGATGATCATGGAGTCAACTGAGTGTCTGAGAATCTCAATATCACCAATTCCTCTGGAAAACAAGGGTACTTGGCACCTTCCAAGACTGTCACAGGTTCCCTAATACCCTGATGAAATCATTAACTAAAGTGATGACAAAACCCTCTCGAGCATTTGAAACCTATAACACCTATTTGTTATGAGCCCAGTAGAAGAGGCTGAACTCAAATCTTATTAGCCCTGCTAATCAGTACATTTCATAATTAAATAACAAGTAAAAGATCAACTTTCCTAATGAAAATTAATTATCTGGGGCAAGGGCAAGTACTCAGGAAAAAAAGTCATCTATAGTGGAACTCAGTGAAGAAAGTAACTCAAATATAAAGACAGTAAAACAGATTTATTCCATTTAATTCAATACTTCCAATAGAAGTAAAGCATGTACAAATAGCAATATTTCACATTTCAATGTAAAGACAATATGCCAGTTCACAACTGGTAGAAACTGGTGCATTCCATTGGTTCTACTCAATTGATCCAAATCTTCATATGCTGCAAAATTCTATAGGAGGCAAAATCTTCATAATCCTAAATATTTCACATATTCAGATCAGGTTGCCTTATTAGCCCCTATTAACATTCTTTATTCTTAGTTAGGCATACATACATTTATTTACCTGTAAGCACACAGAAATTTATCCCATGCTTGAAATGACCCAAGCATCTCTTGCACCCATACCATCACCTTACAGAGAACTATTTCTACCTCCTGACAGGGTTTTCAGCAGTCTCTGCACGATGCTCCCAGTTGCCCCTGCACCCCTGCCAGCAGGCAGAGGCTGGGAACACAGCAGCACAGCCATCGGCACCAATGCAGTGTGAGTGCAGGCGACTTCTATTTTACCAAAAAAGCTTTATATATCGTCCTGTGAGGTTTACGAGTGCCTTGAAAAGGCAGGTTCTGCTGATGCAAATAGCCCGCAGGATTTACCACAGACTTCCAAAATCCAAGCATTTAAAACCCTCTGAATGGGACCCTGCTGCTTTTTTGTTGTTCCAGTAGCAATATGGTTCCTTTCTGTAGTAAGGCTTGTATTACTAATGAAACTTTTTCCGTTATTTACAGACACTTTTCAGGCAGCGTTCTGAACGAGGCAAAGTTAATTTCACCGGGCCCTGCAACTGCTGAAAAGCTACTGACTGGACCACGAAAAGAAGCGGACGGGGGACGCACGGCGCCCGGCATCGGGTCCCGGAGGCGCCAGCGGACCCGACCTCGACCCACTCGG